ACGCACCACTTATCAAGCCATGCTGTGGCGGCGTCCCATGTAAAGTAGAGGAAGATGGGTACGGATGTTAGCCCAGGGCCAATCTTCCTCAACAGAAAGAGGAGCATTGGCATTGGATGTTAGCTCAGGGCTGATCGTCGTCACACACACACACATAAAAATTAAAGATACATTGTAAAAACTACTACAAAGAGAAAAAAATTAAGACAGTAAAATATGATTTCAATAGACTACAGTTTTATAGACAACTTACAAAAATTGTACATATATTAGGCCACAAAGAAGAAATCTCAACAAATTCCACAAAGCACAGAAATGTATATGCCACACTCACACACTACAAGCACTAAAACAAGTAAAAATAAAAAGTTTAAATTTAAAAATCCAGACTATTTAGACATTCTCAATCAACTCTCTCTAGACAATAACTGAATCAAAGAAATCTAAACTACACTTCCAAACTATTTAGAATACAAAGGTAGTGAATAAAACCTGTGGGATGTGGCCTAAACTATAGGCAAGAAAAAATCCGCAGTCTTAAAAACTATTATTATTAATCAAAAAAAGAATAAAAATAAATCATATTCTGTTCTAGAAGTTAGGGCAAAAATATCAAAAATACTAGAAGCCCACGAGAAGGACTGTTGTGCCTCCCTCTGTGGTCTCACATTGGTCACTCAGCCACTTTATGGAGCACCTTAGGGAGCACTTTCAGTGGGCCAGTACCAGGTGCTGGATCGGAGAGGCGAACAGGAATTCTTCTCCCATGGAGCTTACACTGTGTGTGTGTGCACGCGTGTGCGTGCACTCAAAAGAGATGGGGGGGATTATCAGATATTTTAAACTATAAATTCAAATTATAAATTTAAAAATTCAATCAGTGTTATGAAGGAGAAGTACAAAGTGCTCTTCAGTATCCCCAGTGTAATATCACTTGGCAGTACCCTCTAGTGTCATTGTCTCCCTACTGTCTTTCTTTGACTCTCCCTCTTTTTCTATGTCATCTTGTCTTTTTCTGTTTTTCTCTTTCCTCCTCTTGCTCTCTTTCTCTCCCTCCCTCCCTCCCTCCCTCTTCCAATTCCCTGAAGACACTATGTTTCAGTTATTTTTGCCTCATCCTGAGCCTAGTGCTCTGTTTGATACAGTGGCACTCAGTGGTGGCTACTGAATGAATGAATCCAGGAGTTTTAAAGAATCCTGTAAGCTATTAGTAAGTAGATGCTCTGTGAGACAACCCGTAGATTACCATTTGACTTATATTTATTAAAAAAAAAAAAAATGTAGAAGAGAACCTAGGAACTATATAATATATAGAGAATACAAAATAACCACAGAATACACCTTAGACAAGCTAGTAGACTATTTAAGCAGTATTAGGTTAATTGCAATTCTAAGAAGGGTGGTTTGTATAAGGAAAATCATACCTAACTTAACCTTTAGAATGGATGAGTGAGATATTTGAATAGAAGTGCTTGGGGAAATCAGTAGATACAGTTTACTTTGATTTTTCACAGACTTTTGGTAAGGGCTCACATCCAAGGCCCATGTTGGGTTGGGAATGTGATTGGAGTGTCAAAAGTAGAGCTGGGGTGTATAAGAGAAACAGTGGTAAGAAAAGAGGTGCAAGTAATAGGTAAGGACTAGATCAAGTAGGCTTTGTAGGCTACGGTAAGGACTTGGGATTTTATTGTGTTGCCTTTGGAAGGTTTTGAGAATGTCATCTGATTTATAGCTGTAAAGGATCTGGTCGCTGTGAGGACAGACTATAGCAGAATAAGAGTGGAAGCGTGGAGACCAAGTAGAAGGCTGTTGCAGTAGGTGATGGTGGCCTGGACTACAATAACAGCAGTAAAATGATAAGTGCTTAATTCAGAATAAATGTTGAATGTAGAGGAACAGAAATTTACTGATGATTGGCTGTGTGCTGTGAGAAAAAGAGAGTCAAGGGTAACTTAAAGGTTTTTGGCTTGAACCACTGGAATGAATACAATTCATACTGGTCTCCCTGCCTTACAGCATTAGGGGAGGCACTCTTTCATGGAGGTTATCTTTAAAGGGCAGGGAGATTGGTTAGGAGGCTACTGTAATCATTCAGGAAAGATGAAAGAGGCTTGAACCTGAGCAGAGCCTCTAAGTATGGAGAGTCATTCAGAGGGGACAGACTTGAGAGACATTTAGGAAGTAAAAATCACCACTTAGGAAAACAGTTTAGGGTTTTTTACTAAAATTGAAGTAGCTGAATCTTTTTTCCCATTAACTCCACTTATTGGTATATACCCTAGAGCAGGAGTTGCCTGAGGCCTGTTTTTGTATAGTCCTAGAACTAAGCTAAGAATATTTCTTATATTTTTAAAGGATTAAAAAATGGGGGAGATGGGATATGTGACAGAGAACATTTGTGGCCCCCAAAATGTAAAATATTTACTATGTGCTCCTTTATGGTGTAAGTTTGCCAACCCATGCTGTAGATCAGTGTTGTTTTTTTTTTGTGAGGAAGACTGTCCCTGAGCTAACATCTGTGCCAGTCTTCCCCTACTTTGTATGTGGGACACCACCACAGCATGGCTTGATGCATGGTGTAGGCCCGTGACCAGGATCCGAACCTGCAAAACCTGGGCTGCCGAAGCAAAGCATGCGAACTGAACCACTACGCCACTAGGCCAGCCCAAGATCAGTGTTTTTTTTTTTTGGTGGGAAAGCTTGGCCCTGAGCTAACATCTGTTCCAAAGAGGAAAATCTTCCTCTTTTTTTTTTTTCCTTTTTTCATTGAGGAAGATTGTCCCTGTAACATCTGTGCCAGCCTTCCTCTATCTTGTATGTGGGATGCCACCACAGCATGGCTTGATGAGCAGTGTGTAAATCCGCACCTGGGATCCGAACTCGTGAACCCCAAGTCGCTGAAGTGGAGCATGCAAACTTAATCACTACATCACCGGGCTGGCCCCTCAGTGGTTTTTATTTATTTATTTTGTGTGTGTGTGTGTGTGTGTGTGAGGAAAATTAGCCCTGAGCTAACATCTGTTGCCAGTCCTCCTCTTTTTGCTGAGGAAGACTGGCCCTGGGCTAACATCTGTGCCCATCTTCCTCTACTTTATATGGGACACCGCCACAGCATGGCTTGACAAGCGGTGTGTCGGTGCACGCCAGGGATCCGAACCCTAGGCTGCCGCAGCGGAGGGCGCGCATTTAACTGCTTCGCCACCGGGCCGGTCACCCCTCAGTGGTTTTTAAAGTGTGGTTCCTAGAGCAGCAGCAGCAGCACCTGGAATCTGTTAGAAATGCAGATTCTCAGGCCTCAACGCTGACTTGCTGAATCAGAGTGGGAGTGGGGTCCAGAAATCCGTGTTTTAACCAGCTCTCCAGGTGATTCTGATGCACGTTAATTTCTGAGAACCACTGCTCTAGAGACTTTTGTACCTGCCCACCAGGAGACATGGTGGGCATAAGAGCCCCAAACTGGAAACAACTGAAATGTCATCAACAGTAGAGGAGATAAATAAGTTGTGGCAATTAACACAATAAGAGTATTTTATAGCTTGTGGTTAACAGCATGGCGTGTGAAGGCAGACTGCTTGTGTTTGAATCCCAGCCCCACCAAACAGTAGCTTGTGACCTTGGGCAAGTTACTTACCTCTCTGAGTCTCAGTTTCCTCATCTGTAAAACAGGCATAAAAATAGTAACGACTTTATAGGGTTATTGTGAGGCTCAAACAATTACATAAGTAAAAGAGTGCCTGGTACATAAGTAACAGATTTAAAGGACAATCTGTATGTAATGTATTATGATGCTTTAAAGAAAAACATGTCAAATTTCATTTCATAAAAGTGATAGCCCATATATTTTGCATATAACAAAATGATTAAGCAACCTAAGGTAAAAACAATGTAAATTTTGGAGGTTCAGATGTTGGCGTTGCCTCTGTAAACCTGTTTTCACATGTGAAAAATACCTTAAAATTGCTCCTACAGGATTATGAAGAAAACAGATGAAATGTATATACATATGCCCACACTATGTTTGGTGAATGGGCATTTAATAAATGTGTTCTATTTCCTTTCCTAATTGCCCTTTCACTTCTTTTACCATTTCCTCAGCCTTTCCTCCCAAAATTCCTCTGCTGTCTTGATATTCTCTGAGAAACATTGCCAGAACTAAGGTGCAAAGTGGCTTCCTTGACTGTAAGGCGATTTGGCTTTTTCCATGAATCAAGGTCAGGAGAGTCAGTGTCTAGTGTCTTCCCAGCTATACCCTGGAGCCAAGCCTGGGCCTAGATCTAGGACAGGGCTGTAATCCCGGTATCTCCTGGGATTTCAGCCTTTTAGCTGCCTTAGTATGTAAAATGCTTAGTATGTATTTAGCAACACCTAAGTACAGAACGGGCAAACAAAGAAATAGACTTTTTCCCTTCTGTGGAGGCCACGTCCTATTTTCTCTACATCCCACGGCCTAGCACCCAGTAGGCCCTGTAATATATATTATTTTGAGCTGTTAGGATGAATTTGACCTTCTCGGTGGAACTTAAAACATCCATATCCTAGGACGGGTTAATAAACAATTATAGATGAGTTTAGGGTGCAAATAGCTGAAACCACTGGCTGCATTTTATGCTTGTCTACAGCAGCAACCTGCAGACGCCTAGTTCAGAAAGAAAATTACTAAATTCTCTCCCTCGTCACATTAATAATCAAAAGGAACCAGAAATATCGGTCTCCAAAAGACACAGCGCAGCAGCGAACCGGCTCCTGTTCACGCGCGATCTCGAGAGCGGCGAGGCAGGAGCAGTAGAAAGGCAGCCCCCTTGTGACGTCAAATCAGCGGACTCTCGCCTCGGCTTGAGGCCGGTTCCGGTTCCCCGACTTTCCGGGCGCGAGAGTACGTGAGCGCGGCGGCGTTCTGCGCGTGCTCCGCAGAGGGACGCGAGAAGGTTGGGTCCAGCTCGCGAAGGAGATGTGTGATTGGCTGAAGCCGTGCTGGGGGGTTCCCCAGGCCTTTCGGCAGGGGTAAAACAATAAGAGGGGGCGGCGGAAAAGGGGGCGGGACGTCCGTGTTCCTTGTCGCTCGCCGCAGCGTCTGGCCCCCGGGAAGAGGTGGTTGTAAGGGAAGCGAGCTCGCGGCTTTCCGGCTTCCGAGGCTTGAGGTTTGGCGGAGGGGGGAGGCGGGAAGCGAGAAGAATCCGCGGCAGCCGGTCCCCGGCGACTCCCCTGCTGATCTCCGCGCCGACGTACGCGCTGCCACTGTTGGTTGGAGGTGTGTACGGGGGCCGGGAAGGGAGGTCGGTGTGGTGGTCGGAAGGGGACATTCCCTTCGCGCGCCGCGGCTCGAGGCAACCGTCCCGTGAGCCCTGCTGTCAGAGGTGTTGCGGCAGAGAGAGACATTGTTCTTGCCGGCTGCCTACGCTGCCGTGTGTGCGTGAGAGAAGCCGAGCCGTTCCTCTCAGGTGAAGGATGGGAGGCCGCGTGGGAAGGGAAGCGGCCCGCCCGCGTTGTGTTGACGGAGGGCCCTGAGGGCACAGGTGGGGCCGGGGTCTGTTGGGGATGAGGTGGCGAGCTGGGAAGGGGGACGCAGCGGCTCCCAAAGGCGCGCTGATGCAGGCTTAATGTGGGACGTGCGGAGTGCGTTTTCTGGAGAGGATGTTTTAGAGTGTGGAGCCCCCCAGCCTTCTTTCCGACTCATTTGCGGCTCTTATTGCCGGTTCCCTGGGAGCGGAGAGGCCGTCGCCGCCCCGCCCGTGGGGGAGGGGACAAGAGGCTGTGTCGGCGGAGGCAGAAGCGACGCAGATGCGAAAGTAACGGCCTCCGGGCACCATTTCTGTGCACCGAAACAGAATCCGGGTTTGAAGGTAGTCGCCGCTCTGGTTATCCAGTATCTAGTGTTCCGCGGTCTTCGACTCCCCTCGGGTTTATCCCGAACGTGCTCAGAAAGCCGAATTACATATAACGTAACGCTTTCTTCGTGCCCTTTTTATGCAAACGTTCCCTTATTGACCCAGGAATCGAAAAGATGTTTGAGTGCTTTGGGAAATGGGTTTTTTTGTTTCCCTCTTTCTCCACTTTTTTGGGGGGGAACAGAAAGGATGGTCAAGAGGAGGAACATACGCTTCCCTGAATTGTGTTGATTTTATTAGTCGAATATGATGGAATTTTACCTGCTTCTCTAAAAGCAGATTTCCTAAGATGTCCCTGTGCCGCTTTGGAGCAAATATAGATTTGCATCAACAATTTTCCGCATAGATCAGTTTTTTTCCTCTAAGGTATATCTAGTTTTCTTAACAGGTTTCTTTTTTTTTGGAAGGGAGGTGCCGTGCCTTTGCTCTCTTTAAAACAAAACAACAACAAAACCCACGTGCACCAAAGCTGGAATAATAGCAAAGTTGTTTCCTCTTCCCCCCCCCCCATATGATTGTTGTGATATTAACTTCAGTTAAAATGCTGGTTTTTTAGGTTCAGGGCTCCACAATTCGTGCTAGTCTTCCAAATGTTAGCATTGCGTGTACCTGGATCTGTGAACCATTAACGGCAGTTAGGAAGCCCCGTATGCTGGAGGGGAAGAAGATAGGAATTCCTTGTTCAGCTCCATATTTGGCAGTTCATATAGCTTTAGGCGTGTGAACGAAGTTTCAAAGTAAACATTTGGCCCTGTTAGTATTCAGTGGTCCTTTTGATATCCAAAATTCCTGGTGTTAAAAAATGGACCGTAGGATTAGTTTGAACTTCTTGGAACTGAATTGTGTTGTTTCTTTGGTGATATTATTTTCTTAAATTTTTAGGATTAGTCGTGTATCCTTGTGTTATTTAATCTCTAGAGGCTGTTTAATTTTGAAAGGTTATTAAGGAATTGTAGGGAGGATAAGGACCTCCAGTGGATTGCGTACTATCTAAGAGCTGTTATGGTTCAGGTTGTTGAATATTTGAGGTTGAAGTATTAGTCAATGAAGAACAAGTATTGAGAGTGAAGAGAACCAGAATGCTTGTGGGGTGGATGGGGATCAGAAGTACAGAAGGAAGGAGAAAAAAATAAGTCTTGAATAGTTTGATAGTCGAATTGAGTATTTAGTTAGCAGCTGAGCAGTTGATTTGTCAAAAGACAACTCTTGATTTTGAATAGTATTGGCACTGTTGGTAGCAGGAATTTCACTTATGAGAGGTCAAAAATGAAAATTTCGATATCAGTTACTGGAAATCTATAAGTACTAATAGTGTCTTTAGTTTTTTAACAGCTTCCTTATGCTGCAGAATTATTGCTGTTGATTAACCATTATCAGGATTGAAAATTCTTTCATAGGTTGCTTTAAATAAGATTTTTTACCGCATTTTTTCCTGAGTGGGTATGGAGGTGGGGAATGACCCTTTTTTAAGGCTGGTTTTGAGAGGTACAAACTTAAGGGTTGTTTCTGAGCTTAAATTCAGTAGAATTTAATTGACAAACATAACTTAGTTAATCTCCCTGTGGAAACTTAAGAGCTGATAAAACAAATTGGTTCCTTTCCCAGAACTCTGGACTGGCTTCAGAAGCAGTAGAATCAGTTTCTTGACTGCTGCCTCAGCTTATTTTTATCTTTTAATTTCTGGAGATTTTACCCTATTTTGATATACCATGGTAGCTATGTTGGATTGTAGTATGGATTGTGGTATTGTAGTATGACTCTCTTGGATTCCCTGTTACATTCCTGTTCTGTGCTTTTGGCTCCTCCCAACAGTATCAGTATGCTTACAGTTGGACTTTAAAGTTTTTTTGTATTTCTGTGTCCCTGGCTATTCTTCCAAAGCAGTTGTTCTTAACCAGGTGTAGTGAAAACATCACTAGAGGCAGGAGACCTGATTTCAAACCCTCTCTCTCATAACTATAACTGGGGGACCTCGAACTCCTTTCCTTAGGCTCTCTAAACATTGGTTTCATTTTCTGTAAATGAAGCTAATAACTTACCTATTTCAGGGAGATAAAGGAATGTGTAGGTTACTTGTTAAACTTTAAAGCATAATATAAATACATGCTTTTATTTTTGTGGGACAACATTTCCGTGTCTTAATGCTTGGTCACTTTTAATAGCTTCTAAACTTCAAAACTTGCCTCCTTACCTTTGGGGCTTGAGAAAAGATAAGGCTTAATTCACAGCTAACTTTTATCATTTATTTCTACCACTGTTTTTTTTTTTTTCTGGTGAAGAAGATTGGCCCTGAGCTAATATCTGTGCCAGTCTTCCTCTATTTTTTTTTACGTGGAACGCTGCCACAGCATGGCTTGATGAGCGGTGTGTAGGTCTGCACCAGGGATCCAAACCTGTGAACCCCAGCTGCTGAAGTGGAGTGCACGAACTTAACCACTACACTGCTGGTCCGGCCCCTATCACTGGTTCTTAGATGTCATTGTGACACTTTGGTCTGCCACATCAAATTGAAGGTTGCTGTTCTAAAGAGATAGGCATTGCTGTTTTGACTGGTAAAGTCTTTTTTTTTTTTTTTTTTTTTTTTTTTTTTTTGAGGAAGATTTGCCCTGAGCTAACGTCTGTTGCCAGTCTTCCTCTATTTTGTATGGGAGCCACCATCACAGCATGGCAACTGATAGACCAGTGGTGTAGGTCCGCTTACGGGAACTGAACCCAGGCCACCGAAGCCGAGTACGCTGAGCTTAACCACTAGGCCACTGGGGCTGGCCTGGTAAAGTCATTTTAAAGAAAGTTTTAATATGGGGTTAGCTGTTGAGAATGAGTATAGTTCATGGCTCAGGGAGAAAAGGCCTGGGCCTGACTAGTGTGAGCCCAGCTGTGAGTGAGGGGCCCTAGATGGGAAAGGGAATAAGTATCCAGTAGTAGAGCTGTGTCCTAGCATAGACATATTGGTAACATAGTTTCTTTCTGGTAAAGAGAACTGCATCTTGTTACTAAACATCTTATTCTTTTTATAAGAAGCAAGATATAGTATATAACTTTACAGTTCTTAAAAATTATTGTAGATTTTTTTCTAAATGTCATTTTCTTTTGGTTTCTTGACTTTTTTTTTTTTTTTTTAAATAAGATGACGTAGTGTCTTGACTTCTTAGCAGTTTTCATTTTGGCCATTTTCTCCAGCATTGAACTAGCCACCAAAGTGTGTCATGAAATTTCATGTCAGTAATTTGCAATGAGTGAAATTTTTTTTTTCCCCCAGAACTACTTGAGCAAAGATGTTGCAGTTCTTATCACTTGTTATAGATGGCTATCTTGACACTCCAGGCTCCTAGGGTGAATTTTTGATTGTGCATTTCGATGCTAGTATGTAGTGGTGGTGGTTGTAGCCAAGTGTTTGAAGTTATCAGTTTTAATTAGCTTTTATGATTATTTGTAGGTCTAGCCATTTTATCACTATATGGATAATGGAGAAGTTCTGTTAATAAGAATGGAGATGCCAGTTCAGAGATCTCTGAGATTAAAGAGAATTGATGGAGTACAAAATCCTCTTGCTTGTATTACTGTGTCTTTTTTTTGTGTGTGAGGAAGATCAGCCCTGAGCTAACATCATGCTAATCTTCCTCTTTTTGCTGAGGAAGACCGGCTCTGAGCTAACATCTATTGCCAATCCTCCTCCTTTTTTTTTCCCCAAAGCCCCAGTAGATAGTTGTATGTCATAGTTGCACATCCTTCTAGTTGCTGTATGTGGGATGCAGCCTCAGCATGGCCGGAGAAGCGGTGCATC